TAAACAAATTGCTGGGGTTTTGGACTTTGTCCATTGTCCGATATTCTAAACACTAGAGAACTCAACGTTTCCTAAACTGGCTCCGTTTCCGTTCTCAGGTGAGGAAGGAGACATCTACTATGTTGTGTCCTTGGAAGAAACTAACTCCTATTGCTGCACAACACATGTCAGTATAACTATATCTATATAAATGCCTGCTACTGGACTATTTCAGGTGGCTGATAATTTCTTCTAGCAGGAAGATGGTATGGCTTTTGGAAGCTCTCTGTCACCCATAGTTAGCAAAATCTATATGGAGCATTTTGAGGAATTGACTCTTTTCTCGGCAAAACAAAAAAGCATCACTGTATACAGTATGTTGGTGACATATTTGTGGTCTGGCTGATAATCCTGAACGGTTACAGAATTTTCTCAGCCACCTCAGTAGTTTAAGGCCTTCCATCCAGTTCACTATGGGAACGGAGTCAGACAGCGCGATTCATTTTCTGGATGTCTAGTCATCGCGAAAGGGACGACACTGAGCATCAAAATTTATAGAATATCCACCCACACTGGCCGAAAATTCAACTTCAAATCCAACCATCCGCTGAAAAGAGCTTCGATTCAGTGTCGTCACAAGAGATCTTCCTTCATATTCGAACAACGACAGGATCTGTTTAATTAAATAGGTAACCTGAGACGTGATATTCAGCTCAGCAGCTATCCCCAAGGTTTCGTTGACTCGGTTGTTAATTCCAAGGGCCGTAGCCTTCCAAATAAAGAGAATAATTCTCTGGGTTTTGTGTATATTCACTGAGTTTCTATTCTTCTTACTGAAACGCAGTCTAATAAAAAGAAAGTAAAAAAATAAGTCATCATTTTCGATTTTGGGTAAATTTCCCAGCCTCGAGGGACCCCTGACGATAATTTTGTCTCATCACTATGACTGAGTCACAGGACTCGGTCGAGAGACATGAATATCCATTACGAAATATTTAAGCTGCATGATTTGCACTAGTCTCTAGAAATTATGAAGACGCTTAAAAAGGATAAGATGAGACTGTCTGGGCAATGGAAAATTATAAATTTGTACACATTTTATTTATTCATTTATTTTACCTGAAGTGGGATGATATTTGAAGAGTATTCGTAAATAAAAGGATAATATTAATTAGATCTTAATTAAGTAATGTTTAATGGGATTTAACTGGATCTAGATAGGGACAAACAGCAGGATTTCTTGAAGAGTGTACAGCACATTTGAATATCGTAGGAGGTGGGAAATTTCATAATCAACTGAGTGGAGATTAACGTCACAAGAATTCCCCGCCAAGGAATTCGTAAAATTTATTAAGCTATTGGAGTCCAAACGGACTCCAGCCAACGAAGCATGTGGCATTTCTCTTTCCCTTAAACAAACTGCAGCTATACGTTCACTTTTACGAGTAACTTTTATAACGACATAGCCACGCGGTACAGAACCATCCGTATTGATTGTGACATTTGAATATACGAGTAATGCCTGCAGCAGCTGGGCTGCCGATACAAAATTGGGGTATAAAAAATCTTCCCTAACGAGTCCCCTTTTCAGTCAGTTATATTAAAATCAGTGCTGTTACTTACTGATATTTTGTTACACTAAATACATATATAGTCGTATATTCTCTGATGCCGCCGCACATTTCGTAGAGCTGGACTGACGTTCCTAATAGCAGCGTTGTTAGTGCAGGCAAGTTGAATCTGTAAATTACCGTCTTCTGGAATATGACGTCATGTAGTTTGGTTGACAGGTACTGGCGTTACGGAGGAACCTACTCCATGCATCTTCCGCGAAGATAAATGAACCACGCGAAGGAAAATAGTGCGGTTATGGAGAAGGGAGTACCGTGATTGTAGTCCAGTAGCTTTTTAAGATCCTGTCTTCTAACTCTGCATCCTTGCAACGTCTTCCAGGGTCGACTAAGGTAGACCGCACACCGTCATGCGTCAAGATATGTAACAGTCAAGACATGATGTCTGCGACATGACTCAAAGAAAGGAGCACTATTGAAACAAATGAGATTATGAAAACCTTCGCACACTGGTCTGAGTCATTATGCTGACGTCAGCTTCGTGCTGACGAATCACGAATGAAGTAAGACTGCATATTTTCTCTCATGTCTTGATGCTTGTTTTGACGCAGTAGGTATGTGGCTGCCCTTACTGTTCGACCCTGAGGATGGAGGCACAATGTTCCACCGAAATGTCCGTAACCTACCAAACAGCACAGCTTCGAATCCCAGAGTAGGATATTCTTCAACTATTAATTTATTTGCGATAGTGTTTTCAGCACTTTTCGCGAGGAGTCTGGAATACGGTTCATTGTGTCATGATGAATTGTGTTACACTTATGCATTGTTGCACAGGTCTGTGTCTATGTCTGTATGTGTGCATACCTTATGGTCACATCACCCTTTCTATTTAGTACGTTCTTCTGTTATACAGTTTTGATATATGCACTACATTTCGTACATACATTTATTAAATTTCGAATGGGTATGCAACCTGAATGACATGAGTTAGAGACTGTTCAGATTAAGAAGTTGGAAATCTACGCGTAGCTACGTAGTTCCACCGCGTTCATCCACTTTAGTTTAATTATACAAGAAAATCACAAGACTTTATAGAACGTTTATTAGGTAGAAATAAAGTGTCTTTTTTCTTATTTTCCATTCAAACTTCTGCTTGGAAAAGTTGTCGATCTCATAAACATGTAGCGAGTTGTGCCAGAGATGAGTGCACAAATGCATACGTATTTGTATTAAGGGTGCCTTACTGTTGTCCGATTTTAACGTAGAATGTGTACAAAAGTTTAATAAACCTCCCCGGTATCAAGTTTCTTACTAATTCGAGTAACGGTTCTAAAATTGTGAAAATTATCCACCTATTTAAATGCTGAGAGAATATAAGAGATGGGCGGGTGAACATAAACTACAAATAAGGTATTTTCTTCTACTTTGTTATGCCTATTAATGGGGAAGTGATATCCTTTTCATGTATCCTTTTTATAATGTAGTTGTATAAGACACAGACTAATATTATCTTCCCTCGACGTTTTACAGTTAAAAATTCTTCCATAACCCTTTCCCCCTTGCGTGATATATGTCACAGCCATCTGATCTGAGATGTATTTGTGGATTTACAGTAATCTGTATGACTGCCCCATTTTATTCGTATTGCTAGCCTAGAACCTCAATTGCACGCCCACGCAGAGCGTCACAGACTATTGTCTCCTTTTACTAAACCGTTGTTTTTATTAAATTTTGGTTTTTTATCACCAGCCTGTCTTGTCAATCCCCTTTACGGTCTGGTAAGTCTAGAGGTTTTTCGTGAGTAACTGAATATTTTGTTGGAATTTTATTTAGGCACAAAGAGCCATCTACAATGGTGCTCCTTAAAACACATAAACACAGTTGCTGCTGAAGAGAATGGCTAGTGGAACCTCTCATTATGCAAATTCATCTTTCCTCCTCTCACTGCCTCTTTTCTAGATCCCAGTATTCTCCTCAGCACTCTGATTTTCAAGTTCCTTCCAACTGGGCTCGTTCCTCAGAGCTAGATATCAAGTTTCACGACCAAATAAACAATCGGCACTGTCTAAAAGTATTGGTTAACTTATGTTTACATTCTGTTTCTTTGTTTACTCTATTTTGTTATTGAAGATTTGTTTCACCATACTCCAGTAACTCACACTCTATAACATTGAATTTTTGGGTGAGGTAAGGTAAGGTAAGGTAGAACTATCCTTTTAACAAGTCGTGAAGGCACATATTGTGAGACGTCGAGGCCCCCACATTTGTCTAGACAATCGGCTATCAGATGGCGCTCAGGTTGTCAGCCTTACATTCCGGCCGCCCTTTACTCCCCAAGAAGATTCCTGGCACTCATTTCTGCTAGACGCTGAGTCGACTCCATGACCATAGTGCGGCTGGAAAGATTAAGTAAATTGAAAAATCCACCTCATCGGGATTCGATTCCGCTACCTTCCGGCTTGTAGCACAGTGCCTCAACCAACTACGCTACCGCGTGCCTCTTGAATTGTTGGATAATGGTGAATAATTATGAAGCGATAGTAGCCCACTTTAAGCTACTACTTCGGAATTCGCCTAGAGGGGCTGAGGAAATCCACGAGTAACCTCAGCCAAAATATTCGGTGTCCCAACCGAGAATCGAACCAAAGTACTTCGATTCTTGCGTTACTGGAGAGGAAATTATAAGGTAAAATATTCTTCAGAGAATGGCAACAATCAATACCCGTAATAAATTTGCTCTTAAATTATTACGAATTCTCTGTATTCACTGGTCAGTCCGTAGGCCTATCTGTTCCAGCTCCATCTGTTCAGCAGAAAATGTCTTCTTCCTCGTAGCTCATCAGGTTTAACCAGTCAGACTCCTATCATCATTTCTAAATGTTAACTTTACTGGCAATCTTATCACATCCATCCTGTTCCGGATATGTCTACTCGGTATAAGGTAAACGTTAAAGCTATCCCTATAACAGGCCGTGAAGGTACATAGGGTTGTGAGACATCGAGGCTCCCATACTTTCTCTAGGTAGTCGACTCACAGATGACGGTAAAGTTGTCAGCCTTAAGGGCCGGCAGCCTTTTATCCCCCAGGAAGATTCCTGGTACTCATTTCTGTTAGAGACTGAGTCGACCCTAGGGCCATACTACTGTTGGAAGGATTAGATCAATTGGAGAAAAATCTACGTCATCGGGATTCGAACCCGCGACATTCCGACTTGTAGCATAGTGCGTCAAGCAACTACGCTACATACCTACTCGGTAAACGCATAAAATGCATCAGGTCATAGAAGAATTTTTGTATAGGTGAAAAATGAACCTGTTGTCCAAAGAGAATGCCGTATGCTGACTCTTCAAAAACGTACTACGTAGAACTAAGACCACAGTAACTCACCGAAGTCTGGCAGACATCAAGGTATGCTAATTGGTTAACTTTCCTACTTTTATTTGTTGCAGGTGAACATCCGGCCGCCATGCAACACGGAAACAAGAGCTCGGCAAGCGTCTCCATTTCTGTACACATTATTGTATATAGTTTTACAGTTTTCTTAATAAAACGAATGAGATGAAAAACCCGATCACTGCTGCTTCTAGGTTTATGATTTTATATATAAAAATATACTTCTTAAAATGTTTCTTGTTTTTAATTCATATACCAAACCCACGTTTTCTGAACTCTGAAGTTACGGATTATATACAAGTATATACGCATGCAAATTCGTCATTTCCTTCAATTCCTTTCTCCATAAATATTTTTGACAGCGTTTAAAGTATTTTCAGTGCATCTGAGCAGAGGCTACTTATCACTGAAGAGCGGTAAGCATTTTTCTATTTAAGTGTGTATATTCACATAGATATATATGCGTATTCCTTTTACAGTTCACATCGTCTTTCACTTCCTCGTGTATTCCGCTTTTTTTTTCTTTCTTTCAATCTTCATTCTTCATACAGTTACCAGCTTCCTGGACTTTGCCCAAAGTTATCCCTGTAAGGCTAGGAACACACACAGCGACATCGGTCGTACGACGTCCGTACGGTTCATGTCGCATCAAGTAGTAGAATAAAAAGTGTAGTCTTAGCTTTCATACGTGACGACATGCGACATCTACCGTACGACAGTCGGAGAGTAAAGAAATGTATTTGATTGCTCTAGTGTGAAAAGGAGGTCGTACGGCAAAAACTTTCCGTACGACCGATGTCGCTGTGTGTTCCTACCCTAACTTGCTGTGGAGGCCCATAAGGTTGTGACATGTTGAGGCTCACATATCTTCTAGACAATCGGCACACAGATTGCGATGAGGTCGTCATCCTTACGCGCCAGCCGCCCTTTACCCCCAAAGAATATTCCTGGTACTCATTTCTCATAGAGGCTGAGACCACCCCAGGACCATAGTGCGGCTAGAAGGATTAGGTTAATTGAAAAATTTAATGATCTCACCGGAAACCGAACACAAGGCTTTCCGGTGTGTAACAATGCCTCAACCAACTGCAATACCGCGTGCCCCGGGGTTTGCCCATAGTCCCGTTTTATTTAAAAGAACGTTTCGAAAACTGGACTCTGCCTCCTTCCTCAGTTGGACTCAATCGACAGGGTTACTCCTTTTCCGAACAAGGAACCAACACAAGCCAAACACAACGTAAACCATCAGAGGGAATTAGAACAAAATTTTTAAATGTCACATGCATGAAAACTTGCACCTATGGCATCCATAATGTAACGGCCAGAGTCATTAAAATCGTAGAGTAGGCCTTTTATCTGACGATGGAGGCACAGTCCAGTCTTCGACACGTTGTTGTAAAGAAAAATGGGATAAAAGACAATGTCCAAAATTTCAATAATTTTATTGATATGCCAACTTCACGAACGTTTAGATCTTACTGATCCTTCGTGCCTGCCGCTCCATGGCTTCTTCTGCTTCGGTCTTTCCCATGTATTTCTAATTCTGTGTTGCTTCCGGTTTTCTGTAGGAGTGAAGTTCAACATTTCATTTTACAAAATTTCTTCTGGCAATCGTAGAATATGTCCTATGATTACATTCTTTATCTATAATTTTAATTGATAGCAATTAAATCAATCGGCTGAGGACTGGTCGATCGGGGATCGATTCCTGGAAGGGGGACTACATACAGTATTATATTTAAGCATCATATTGCACTTTATACGATATATGATATAACTCCGTGCTAAGTGCAAACTATATGTATAGGTCTTTCGTTTTGTTCTCCTTTATACACTACATGTTTCGGCCCCAAATGGCCATCATCAGGTGTATACACTCACGTATCTCTTACACTGCACTTATTTATAACATTTAAAATTTATAAACATAGGCACGCACACAGGGAGACTACACAGAATAACACCTATACAGTACTGGAAACAAGAAGCAGCCGCTGCAGCACAATAGACATAGGGCGAGTAATCCTGACAATTTTAAATTTTAAAATTTAGAGAGAAAAAAGTTTTAAATTTTATAAGTGCTAATTCAGAGAAATCAAAATTGACGCGTGTAAATAACAAAGATATCAACAAAGTAGATTTTTGTAATAACGAAAGGAACAATCAAGAAGACCTATGTTTTTAAATTTTAAATGTTATAAATAAGTGCAGTGTAAGAGATACGTGAGTGTATACACCTGATGATGGCCGTTTGGGGCCGAAACATGTAGTGAAGAAAGAGAACAAAACGAAAGACCTATAAATATAGTTTGCACTTAGGACGGACTACATACAGATTGGCTATGGGGACCAAACATCCACTTCTCCAGTGCGTACTGGGTATAAAGCAAGGAAACTAGAAACTGGCCATTCTCTTGCACGTAGAATGCTTTGAGCCTTGTCTTCCCCTCAGTCATATCTTCATATTATGCTACTTAGGTACGCGGTATCCTTCTCTGATGTACTGTACTCGTATACGTAGGGTAATTTTGAAGCGGCGAGGAGAGAAGTGGGTCCCCAAATTCTGTATTTAAGCAGCCCCAAAGTCGGTTTTCAGAGGACCTCCTTATGATGTTAATGGGTAGGTTACATTATGAAGATAAATATCCCCCCCCCCCCAAGTTCCTCTCTTCTTGTTTTCTTTTCACCTTCCTTTTCTCCTGTTTCTCTTTACAATNCCCAGATTCATATCGTCTTGTATACTTCCCACTTGCCTTTTCTCCGGTTTCTAATGAAAATAACTCCATTGTGTACGGTCTTGGCAGAAAAGATGGCAATTACTCAGCCGAGTCAAATAATACCCTGATTTAATAATGCTTGAAGTTACACACTGTGTTCACAGAAACCCATTAATGAAGGCTGCCACGACCCAGTTGAGTCCAGTCCACACTCTCGCACCCAACTCCGCCAGGATCGATTTCGGTAAAGAAAACTATCTTCTGGAGGGCTACGGCGTGAAGTCTGATAGACGCTTACCACTGTTTCCGAGGAAGTGCTGTTTCTACTTCCAGAGCGGAGGAGTAAGCCAAGGAAGCGAGCAACAAGCAGAGTGGGGTGTTCTGCGTAATGTTTGCTTGCCGTGTTCTTCGGCACTAAGTTTGTAGGCAATATGTTCTTTAGAAATGTCGGAAAAACTCTACCCGATTATTCGGCATAATTTCTTAATAGAATTATCTCCATAGCTCCCACCGTACGAACCTGAAATCTCACATGAATCTCACTATATTTTCGCTTGAAAATTTGGACAAGAATCCTATGGCTCAACATGGGGACAGTGGCGGACTTTTGTGAACGCGGTGATGAATCTTCGGACTCTTAAAATGGCAGGAAATTTCTCGACAACCTGAGCAATTATGATCTTCTGAAAGAAATACTCTGCACCAAGCGTTTATTACTTTTGTTTCATTGTTGTCACAGCTTCAGTTATTATTATATAAGTACAAATCACTCCGTCCAATGTGACATGTAAGTTTTTACTACGTTAAAACTTATCTCCCTTGCATGTTTCGGTCCTCACTGGCCATCTTCAGAAGGAACATCATTACAAACTGGAAACTACCATCACAATAGGTGTTTTGATTTAAAATGTATACACATATCCTATAATGCACAGTACGCATAAAGTCGAACGTTTCACAATCACAGCAGCTTCCTGGTGTTGTAAAGTTTTTAAAAGTTTCTAGATGTTATTTAAAAAACCTTTATTGTCAATAGTTAAAATTTTTTAAACCACGTAGGTTCGTGTCCGTACTCCTATCGTCTTTCTTGTATGGGGCAGATTTTGTACCGCCTGTCTATCTTGATGAGGAGGTTCTTGATGTGGTCCAGGGTTTGTTCGTGGCTTGCTGTGTTGTTTTCAGGAGGCACAAAGTCTGCCCCATACAAGAAGGACGATAGGAGTACGGACACGAACCTATGTGATATAAAAAAATAAAAGAAAAAATAACTATTGGCAATAAAGATTTTTTAAATAACATCTAGAAACTTTTAAAAACTTTACAACACCAGGAAGCTGCTGTGATTGTGAAACGTTCGACTTTATGCGTACTGTGCATTATAGGATATGTGTATACATTTTAAATCAAAANTTTTAGTAATAAGTTTCTAAATTTGGTGATCTGTTGTTTGTTACATTTGACAGTTAATTTTGAAACTATAGATTTTCTAGATATTCGGTAGAACGCCTTGGGTGGGAATAGGCTCATTGGAAGGCTTGTATTTAAATTATAACTCAGCATTTCGTAATAACATATATCATACATCTCTCTTTGTTCCTCTGGTAAAGTGGTTCGATAAATTGATACAAATAGATGTTCGCTGTAATCGCGTTTAATTTGTACATATTTATTGATTATCTGAGTTAAATTGCTAGATGGCATCCTATTCAATGAAACTGTTCAATTAGCTCTGCACAAAGGAAAACCTTTGCAGTGTCTCTTTACACTTTACTGTATAATTAACTGTTATTTGCGGAAATATGCAACTGCTATCATACCCAATTCTGTACTGAGATACAAATGAATTTTGAACTTACTTTGATCTTTAGAAAGTAATTGAAATGTAATGAGCTCTAGGAAGAAATTACAGCGCGTGATTTCCTCCAAAACTTTCAAACTGCTCCTACATACTACAGCAGGAAGAGCCATGGATTAGTAATCGTCACTAATTACTGACCCATTTCTGTGCACAAAAATTTTCAAGTATGTTAATTTTCATGTATTCCTTCCTCTTTTTCTTCGTTCTAAAGCTGTAGGCTTCCACGGCGTCTTCAGGTTCTCACCGATTTTCCAAATTCCTTCCTTGGAATTTTCAAGGTTACATTTCGCAGACAGATAGGGCCTTAGACCTCCGCACAACTCCAACCTGGAAGACTACGAATTTTAATTTTCAGTTTTCGTCTCCTGAAGAAGCTGAGTTCTCTACAGCCATCGAGTCTTCTCTGCTCCTTGCAGACTTATCGTAATTTAATCTCTCTCGTGTGACAGAGCAGGTTCCGATTACCGACCCTGTCAGCTGCTTATTCGTCAGATACAGCCTGAAAAATCAGAATTAGGGTATCTTTGTGTTTGCAATTGTTGGCATGTAAATTACTTCATTACTTACTTACTTCTGGAACTGAGCCCTTCTTGAGGAGCCGCCACTTCTGCTGCTACTCA